AGAAGTGTAATTAACCAGTTTGGAATTTCCTGATCAACACCAAAGAAATGTAATCCAATCAACCAATTCGTAATTTCCACGTCAGTACAAAAAAAAATGTAATCCAACCAAATCAACTAATTTGGAATTTCCAGGTCAGTATCAAAGTGTTAATCTGTCACATGGACTCTTCCCATCAACGTCCATCCGAAATCCTGCCTCTCAGAGGAAGAAGAGGCAATCAGCTCCTAAAACCCTTACTGTTACTTCCCCCTTCTCCCGCAAAGATGTCGTGGCCTAAAAAGAATCCTTTCTTATATTTTGCCAATAGCTCACATGCCTCACACTGTTTCCTATAAAGACCTTTCATTTTTGTGCAACCCGTGGAGCACCCAACTGTTTGCTAAGTGGAATGCTGTCTGATTCGTTTATCTATTTGTACTTAACGTTTCTTCTTAATTTTTAATTCTGCTTTGCTAGTATTCTCTAGACCTAATATGGTTTTTTTTCCTGCCACCTGACTATATATTGACTGTATATGTATTTTTCATATCTCTATTTGAAATACAAGTATCATGTATCCATCTTTTTTAGTCATTTTTCTGGTGACTACAATGCCTTTTCTCCAGCGCTGCCTCTTTTTTTTTTTTTTTTTTGATTTGATCCGGTCTGTTTCGCTCCGGAAAAATAGTTGATTAGTTAAAGACATTAGGAAAAATAGTCCTGTCATCACCTCTTCTTGGCTTTATGAACCTCACAGTCTTTTTCATTTAAAAACATCTTGGACACCCAAGTGTCTCAGGAAAAAAACAAAACAAAACCCACTATGACTCTGTATCTTGGTATTATAATAATTATTATTATTTATTTCTTGGAATTCGAGACCATACTTACTCGCCTTCTATCTCTGTGAAGAGCAGGTCAGAAAACAACTAGAAATCCGTGATCAAGGTGTCAGCGGGTTTGGTTTTCTTCTTCCCGGGAAACAAGCTACAAGCTTCCCGGGAAACAAGCTACAAGCTTCCCGGGAAAAGCCTTCGGGGCGGAGCTCAGGTTTCCTCCCATTGGTTCCTCCTGGAGACGCCGCCGCGCCCCGGTCCCGCCTCCTGGGCGGATGAACCAATAGGAGCGTAAGTTGTGGTTTAAACGCGGAGTCCGGCGCGCCCGCTGGAGACCGAGTCTTGGGAGAGCGTGGCTGCGGCTCCCTACGTGGGTGAGTGGAAAGGAAAGGGCGCGCGTGGTACAGCCGGCGCGCGTAGTAGAGCCGGCGGGGTCCGGCGAGGTATGAGGCGGACGGTGGGTGGGGGCCGGGAACCAGGGGTCGGGGGCCCAGGGCTGGGGGTCTGGGGCCTGGGATTTCCCACCGAGCCGGGTTGAGCCGCCGCCTTGGACTGCGTCCGCGACCCGCGATGAGCACCAGGGCCTGTGCCAGTCCCAAACCGCCAACTCTTTTGGAATTTAGGGTCGCTGACGCAGACTTCAAGAGTTAAACGCTGGATGAAGTGCCCGTTGGCTCAAGATCGGGCTTCTCTCTCTGCTTAGTCCTTGTTTGCGTGGGCGTGCCCAGGGCGGAAAGTCGGGTCTCTGCTACACCTTAGCTTTTCTCATCCTCCCTAACCCCCAGGGTCTGATGAGTATTTCACACCCCTAGGAATCCGGAATGGCAACTCTGATCTTTGTTGATAAGGAAAATGGAGAACCAGGCACCCGTGTGGCTCCTAAGGACGGGCTGAAGCTGGGGTCTGGGCCTTGTAAGTATGCAGGCGGCGGTCAGATGCACAGGTGTTGTGAACCAGCGGTGGGTGTGGCCCGGAGCTGGGAGGGAGGCATTTCATGCGCTTTTGTTGGCTACTGGAGTCGTTTACCCAGCACTGCTGGTGCAGCGTGTTACCGATCTCTTTCTCATTTTCAGTATCTTAATGAGATTATTTAAGAGGGTACCGACTTGAAGTACTATTAGGCCTATGACTGCCACTGTCAAAACTGGGGGTTAATTTTGGAAGTGAAAATGAGGCCAAGTTTATGGGCACAGTCAGCTTTCAAGCTGCACAGGTGTTTTACTGTGGAGTAATCTTACGGTAAGACTTATTCTTTAGCAGTCAAACCTTTGGACGGGAGGTCGCAGTTTTCAACACCACATGTTGGCAAAATGTTTGATGCTCCACCAGCCTTACCTAAAACTGCCAGAAAGGCTTTGGGAACTGTCAACAGAGCTACAGAAAAATCAGTAAAGACTAATGGACCCCTCAAACAGATACAGACAACCTTCTCTACCAAAAAGGTAAGTGTTGGCTATAAAAACGCTCATTTCAGCTCTTCTGACTCTTCAGATGACATCCTACCTTTCTCCTGTGTGAATGGAAGGAAACATAGACGAGCTAACATAGATTAGCAGAAGAGAATCGTATGGTATCGTGGACTTCTCTGTATCTCGAGACGAGAAGTCTCAAAAAACAGCTGGTGAATATTTTTTGCCTCACCTGTCCTTAATGAGTGTCTTGAAGCAGATTGGCTGGTAGTATCTACTTACTGAAAGTACAAAAAAGACTGGGAGGGAGGGTGTTCTGCAAGAGGTCACGTTGCTCATGTAACAGGTGAGATGCAGCTACTGTCCTCCCCCTCTTCCAGAGCAAGCACCAGCTTTTTAGGCGGTAACTTGCTAGCATGTTGATCTCTGTGTTGTACAAGCTGTACGTCAGTGCAGCCCAGACTGAGAGGACTTGGCTATGAAAGGTGACTTCAGCGTGTGGCTTACCACTTCATTTGAATATTTGTTTTTGTGTTTACTGTGTATTAAGAAGAAACAACTAATACTTGACTTAGATGTGTGGTTTTAGGACAAGGATGTTTTCTAAAAAAACAAACTGAGTTGAGTAAGAGAAATGTTAAATACAAGTATTGCAAGGATATGGCAAAAATAATGAGAATGTGAGAGAGTGTGGGAAACCTTCCGTAGGGATTTCCTCTAGGTGTGCACGTGTGAGGTAAGAATGAATTGAGACCACCCAGGCTTCTGTTTTGTGTGGCCCACCACCCTCATAGGCTGCCTACCTGCCAATTCCAGACTAGGGAGTTTTCCACGGTGGGCTTCCGAAGTCCTCAGCTGTCTTTTGCCGCCTCTTATTCAGTGTGTGTATTTGAGGAACACAATCTGGTTTTTTTCTTTTTAATATTAACCAAATAATGTAGGTAACACCGATGGACACACAAATGGAAAATCACGTTTCCAACAGCCAAAAATGGCTTCTAGGATTAGCTTCTATTCTGGGTAATTCATGTCCATTTTCTCCTCTGTGAGGTTGGGTGATTGAGTTGATTAGCTCTGAGTTAACTCTGCTCTGTGTTCTTGGTAACTTAGGCTAACAGGTGCTAATACTTAAATCACAGACTTCACTTCTGAGCCATGATCACTAGAATTACTTGCTCACCTGTATTTGTGTGTAAGCGTGTAACTAAGGGCTATGGTTTCTTAGAAGTCAGGATGAAGCTGAAAAAATCTAAACTGTGGTGAACCAGTCACGTCTTGAAGAAGCCCTACGATCTCTTGCACTGATCAGTAGGCAAGGCTTCCACCATCACTAAAGCATGTTTTCTTGGCTTGTTATAGATCACTGAGAAGACCGTGAAAGCAAAAAGCTCTGTTCCTGCCTCAGATGACACCTATCCAGAGATAGAAAAATTCTTTCCCTTCAATCCACTAGGTATTGTCTTTTGGGGTCGCACAAATGGTTTAGCCTTGAGTTTTTCTTAAGATCCAATTCAGCTGTAACTTGATACACATATGAATACGACACGTGACCCAAAACGAACAAAGCCGTCTGAGTCTGGGTTGCTTTGAGCAAATATACTTGTGAGTTTATCTGTAAGTTATCATCTTAGGTCCAAAGGGGAAGGTGGGGGGGCAAAGATGTGGAGAACATCGTTCCTGTTCCCACAAGCTTACCACCTGGGGGAAGTAAGATGTGTTCACTAATGCTGAACAGGGCTAAAGTGGACAGTCTTCCTAGCAAGCCTTTTAGGAAGTAGGCTTTTTGTCAAGTTGAATGATGCCTGAAGAATCCACACGGTCAGTGAAAATGCGTGCTTTTTCACTCCTTCAACCTGTTACATGTATCTGAAATATTTTGTATTATAGAACCAGCTCGTCAAGCTTTAATTTACTCCCATTTGAGGAGAGGCTACTGCATGTGAGTTAGGCACTGTTAGGCTTGAGATGCAGTGTTTACCAAGAACTAACCTCCCCCCACCCCCCCAGCATGGGATTTGGAGGGAAAGTCAGGCGCTGAAGGAATCATCTCGCTTTGAGTGTGAACAAGGGAAAAAACGGGGCCTGGGCTGCTGGGGACCTGAACCTTGCCTGGAAGAGCAGGAATTTCTCTCAAGAAGTGACACCAAGTGGATCCTCAAAGATACAAGGAGACAACTGGGTGAAGAAGGGGTGGGGCAGTGCAGGAGCGCTGTACCAGATAACAGTGTGTGCCAAGATCCTGAGGCAGATGAAAGGATGGGGTTGCTCTGGGAAACGGAAAGGATGATGCTGGCGAGGGGATGGGGCAGATCACACAGGGCTTTTCAGATTTCCGAGTTGGATTTTTTTGCCCTTTTTATCCAAAGAGCACTTAGTCATTCTACCAGCACACATGCAGGTTATTTCTGACTTTCATTTATTAAAAAACAATTCTGCACTTAGTATTACTGAGATTTTTGTTGAGCATTTGTGAGTATATCTGGAGAGTAAGCTTCAAGGAGGATTGCTGGGTCTTAAAGGTGTGTGATTAAGTGTTGATAAAATGCGGTACATCCATTCTAATGATGACCGTTCAGGAAAATGAGGTAGACTCACGCGCTTTGGCCAGGGAAGAGGACAATAATGTGCTGTGTTGGAGAAAAGAGAGAATGCTGGGTTGCCTTCCCAAATAGGAGCATCAGGGGTTGGGGATACCAGGCAGGAAGTGGTGAGAGATAGCACTGTCTGTCCTTCCTCACATGGCCCCTAAGACTCTGCCTCTCTTGAGAAGATGGTCAGGGGAGGTTGGTGAGGGAGTGACCAGGAACCAAGGCAGAGTCTGGCCCTGCGGGGCTCACAGAGGGCACACGGGGAGGACTGAAGCCACCTACAGTGGGTGAGGGTGCCCGCATCCCCCCATCTCCTCTAACTGCAAATGTCTTAAAACTCTAATCTTTATCAGAAAGGTAGTGGGTATCTCATGTTTTCAATTGGGGTATGTGAGTGTCTGAGCATCTTTGATTATTGGCCTAATTGGTTTTTCTTTTTAGATTTCCTGTTTGCATCTCTGTTTTCTCTTGATTGTGTGACCTTCTTATACTGTGTGTGTGCAAAGGGCTCTCTGTGGGTAAAGGAAGTCAGCCCTGTATGTTGCACACCCATTTCCTCCGGGGTCTTTTGTCAGTTGATGTTTATCTCTACCATTCAGTGATTTAAATTAAGTAGTCACAAATCTATTCCTTTTTGAATTCTGCGCTTTATCAGGCTTGAACAAGAATAGACTAATTCTTAGCATTTAGGATTTAGAGACGTTTCACACACTTGAGAAAATTACAGTTCTCCCTCCATCTTTGTTCTTAGCTTTTGAGAAAATGCTTAAATTAAGCTATTTGCTGGTAGTTTCTTAAATTACAAATTCAATTCTAGTATTAGTGATCAGTTTTTCAGATTGTCTGTTTCTTCATGATTAAGTCTTAGCAGGATGTATATTTCTAGAAATTTGTTCATTTCTTTTACCTCTTTGGAGAGAGGCAAGACTCAATATTTAAATCTTTTATTACTGTCGAGAAAAATCAGTTGTACATAATTCCTAAGCAGTACTGCACTTGGATTTTAAGAAGAAACGTCGCCTAAAACAGTGATTCTTATATTTGTTTTAGGATTTTTACACTCTTAAAAAATTAGGACCCCAAAGAACTTCTGTGTGTTGTTTTCATATCCTGTATTAGAAATTAAAACTGAGAAGTGAAAAAAAGTATTATTTGTTAAAAAAACAATAAGCCAACATTAATGTACATGGCTTAAAGTTTTTTCTTACATAAAAAAATTTAATGAGAAGAATGGCATGCTTTTATGAAAATTTGCTTAATTTGACTTAACATAAACAGCTACATTCACAGCAGAGCTTGCATTCAATCTGTTGTTTTGGTTGAAATGGATGAAGAAAATCTGGCCTCATGCAGATAGTAGTTAGGAAAGAGAAGCATTTTAAGTCTTTTCAGGTAAGTATGGATAGATTTCTTGGCTATTAAACTAAAACTCAACA